TAGTAATTTTATTCATTTACATATAGTTTCATTTAGTATAAAAATGTCAAAATAGATATTTCAAGGTCCCTAAATTTGCTACTTCAGGGTTTTATTCCTCCATGGTAAATCATATCGACATCCAAAGCGTAAAACCACGTAACTCTGTTTGCGACATTGCAGACTTCCTCCTCCTCTTCTTCCTCTTCTTCTTTTCTTCTTCTTCTCCTTCTTCTTCTCTTCTTCTTCTTCTTCTTCTCCTTCTTCTTCTTTTCTTCTTCTTCTTCTTCTTCTTCTTCTTCTCCTTCTTTTCTACAAACGACTGAGGCATAGCCCTGATTGTCAGGTCATCTAGTTCATAGAGCACATTAAATCATAAGTACTATACTATCCAAAAATCGCTAAAAATAAGGATTCGTAAAAAATAAAAACAATAATAAAATAGTCGATTATCCGCAGACTCCCTATATTACTTTATTTTTTCTGTGGTAAACTAGCCAACGTAATCTCTTGAAAACTACCTTAATTTTTCCTCTTTGTTATTAGAATATTCTGTATTTTTAAGCTACAAAGTTGGCTTATCTCTCTTCGAAAAAAAAAAAAAAAAAAAAAACTAGTAGGTAGCGGATTTTCTTAAACACCGCAATGGAAATACGTGGCTTTGCTTTTTGGCTATCGATGAATTCGTATAAGGTAGAGCCATAGAAACTGAACTAATGTTTTTGGAATAATCGGGTATTCATAAGCACGTGAGGATTCAGGAATCGCCAAGTATAAAAAACATTCTTTTATAATTCTTTAGCCGTTGATTCCAGGTATGTGTCAAGCATTACTATCTTCCCCACACCTCAGCTTTAAGCTAACTTGCCTAAAGTCCACGCCAAATAAATCTATGTTCTTTTAGACTACGACAGAGGATCCGCCATCTTGACATTTGCATTTACTTTACATTTGAAAGTGATGTCAGGCGAACCTCTGTCGCAGTTTAGAAGTGCGTAAACTTATTTGGCGTGGACTCGGTGATTTGGCGTTGTCATAAAAGTCATTTTTGACAGCTCTCAAAAAAATCCAATTCCTCCGAAAATACCTGATGTAGAAATTGCTCATACCTGTATCGTAAAGGCTGTTGAGATTGATATCTCAGCCTCGAGTCTTAATGAGGCAAAACATTGTGCTTGTTTTTATTTCTATTAATTTTAGTTTTGTATACTTATTCTTTTTTTCACATTTCCCCCTATTTCTCTCATTAGTTTCCCACAAAATTTCCCAATAATCTAAAAAAAATTACGTCTTTCTTCTGTTTTTCTTTGATTTTTGACTTTTGGCCCCGCGAAATGTTCCCTCCTTTCACATTTTCATGCGCCCGGGCATTTTTTGCACCCCTGAAATTACCCCCAAAATCGTCTTTCCTGTGATTTGTATTATTTTTTAACCCGCACCTTGATCACCCATTGATAAGGAATTGTTGACCACCAACCCCCCCCCCNNNTAATTGGAAATTTCTAGCTACATCATCGTATGCATCCGTTTACACATAGCCCCAACTATATAGTTTACAACATAAAATGATCGCTATGAGCCCGTATGTAAGTTAATTGCTGAATTGGAAGCTAAAAGCATTGAGTAAGGAGGACTTGCCTACGTTTTTCAAGTTTCTTTATTTGCAATACCAATAAATGGAATAAGCCCTGTAGGTTATTACTCCTCAATTCTCTATTTCCTTGATCCATACGTTTCTACATCAGCATGGGTAAATTTTAATCTGGTACAGCTTAAAAATTGATAAAAATTGAATAACTACGATATAAATCTAGAATTGATAGTGAGAAAGAAACCATTTTTTACCAAGTTTTCTCGTGTATTGTCATTATCATGAATAAAAAATAAGATCAGTAATTCCGACAATTATCTTAGTTACCAGACAGAAAAGCATCTATATTCGTCTTGATAGTTGTGTCAGCGACAAGAAAAAGTTACTTCCTCACCACTATGAATATCAGAGTGGATAATGTACAAATACTAATTAAAACTACAGTGTTTTGTTTGATGACTATATTCCTTTTATATTCTCCCAAAAACATGATAATTTTTCATTATTGTAGTGAGTGTCCGTTACAAACAAAATACGAAATTAAAATGACCAGTGGCGTGGCGTAAAGTGCAATGTATCGATTGTTATGCCATTTAAACTTATGGAAAAAGATCGATAAACAGGGTGTTCGCAGCGAACACCTTAATAATCGATTCTTTACCGTAGGTTTAAATGGCATAACAATCGATACATCGCACTTCACGCCACGCCACTGAAAATGACAGAATATCGGGAGCCACCCTGATCCCTCACAGGCTCATACGCCATTGAAGAGTGTAAATTATTAATTGGATTTTTTTATCTTTTCAGAACATGGGACTTAGGCAGGAGATGGAGCGGCTAAAGAATGAGAACATGGCGCTTCGTGATAGATTATCTAAATTTACTGAGATCTAGCAACCAGAAACAGTCAGTCAAGCCAACATACCATGGTCCACTGACTATTATTCAGGATTGTAAGACCCTCCCATTGCTGCCAATTTTCAATCATCCTCTGTTGCTGTCTTATTTATTTTCATCTATCTATTTATTTATTGTCTTATTCTTGTATTTATTATTTCGCGTTTGAGAGATCTGGCTCCTTAACACAGGACATGATTTCTCAGCGCAAAGTAACATGATTCTGTAACCGCTAGAGTTTTCAGTTTTGCACCCCTCATTTTCTTCCTACTTAATTGTTCAAGGAAATAAAATTCAACATCACAATCTCCTCCGATTCTGTAAATCGATTTGTTGATACTAATAAATTGAAATGACCATCATGTATGTATCCTATTATTCAGCTTGTACTTTCATATCGTCACAAGCCAGAATTTGACAAAATGTCCCCTTCGCTGCAAAATCAATGAATTTGCAGTTCACCTTATGATCAGTAAGGACGCAAAAATGTTTTGTTTCATTTGCATATTTTTGTTTCCACATCTTCCTGACTATGTATTGTGCATCCATAACCTAACCCTCAAATAGAAAATATGAAATGTATCGAAGAAAATATAAGAGTAAGCATGCCTGCTGATGCAACTGGCTGGTCGTTTTCTTTCACAAAATCTTGTTAAACAATGTTTGACTCATTTAACTTTTCTCAACTACCTTAGTTCTGAATTCTTTAAAGATGAATTGAAATTTTTTTATCTCTTTTTTTTGTTGACTTTTTTTTTAAACGTTTACAGATTTTGTCAGTAGTCTTTATTGCTTTAAAAAATTCAATCTGAATTGAACAAAAAATCACACATAACTATTTTCTTGACCAATCGGAATCACTTCTTGGGAAAGATTTAACTTTGAAAGAAATCTAACCCTCATTAGAAAAATGTAAAACTCCCTATTGACAATATTTCAGTCTCTGGTGCTCGTTCATCAGGATCGTAAAACCGTCTCTAATAACAGCACAATACTATGTTCATCACTTTTCGTGGATCCTATAAAACTCCTTCAAGTTTTAGTATAGGCAACTTATTGTGTTTGCCGCCAAGCAAAATTGCAGGCAAACCAATTGAAGGAGTTTCGTCGTGTTTATATCTAGAGAAGTGTGTAACAGATAGTTTGTAAAAACAAACAAACAGAGGAGGAATCTCGTAATATGTTTCAATTTTAGAGCAGATGCAATCCTTAAAATTATGAATTTGACCCAGTTATGTTTGTTTTCGGCTCAAAAAATGTTATGCTTTTTACATTTCCCCAGCTTAAATTTTACTGATGCACTTGATCTCTTTGATTTGTTTTTCTTTAGTTCAAATAACTCTCCCCGTTTGTCATCTACCTGAACTCACTTGTCGAGTTGAAAAGTCAGCAATGGACTCTTACTTATTTCTTGTCGTGATATTAACTTAATTATTGATATTCTTCTGTGTTTCTCTGTTTTCTCCCCTCCCCCTCTTTTTTAAATTATTGTACAAATGATGTATTTAAATGAAATGATACTTGTAATCCTATACCTAAGTGTAATGTTTTTTATATGCTTTCTTTTTTGATATGGCGATTTTTAGCGAGCCGAGTCTGCGTCGGGGTTGCCAATTTTTTGAGTTCTTTTCTGTTTTCAAAATGTGGTATCCCTGCTACGAATTTTCTTCAACAAAATATGTCGGAGCGGTAGTGCCAGTTGAGAAAAAATGAAACAAGCTCTTATAAGTGGCGACCCTGTTTTGCATCTCCTGATAGGTCCTATTTTGTTATCTCCCAGGAATGGCGTTGAAAAAAAAAATTACTTTCATCCGTAGAGGCCAATGGCGAGGCGTGATTGATCGATTATCGATGTATCCCCATTTGAGGCTGTGGTAAAGAATCGACTACTGAGGTGGTCGTTACGAACACCCAGTTTATCGATTCTTTTCCATAGGTTTAAGTGACGGATCATTTGATACATCGGAAAGCACGCCAAGCCACTGGCAGAGGCTGCAGTCGAATCAACTCTTTTTCTCTATCGCTCTCAATACATTTCTCTCTCGCTCTCAACACATGTGACCCAAACAGGATTTCTAAGAGTCAGACCTTCGATAGATCAAAGTACAAATTCAATTATTCTCAAAAATTAGAAAATGTAGTCGTTGGAAAGTAGCATTTGCAGGAATTGATTTCTCGCAAAATTAATCATAGGTTGTAAAATTAGGAATGATATTTTATTTTACAAGCAGCTATAATGAAGCGATTCGTTATTTCAATTTATGTTAATCAAATTGTCAAGAAATTATTTTTTATGAAGATCCTTTAGTGTATGATTTTGTAACTCTTTCCTTCCCTCATGAAGTCTGTTCAACTTTATTTTAAGGAACGGCAAAGCTTCATGGCGTGGTCGGCCTTTGACTTTCAGAAACCCTCATTGATTATATAGAACACTTATTTTAATGAATTTTTGAATTCAGTTTTACATAAAATGTAAATTGTATCTAAATTTCTAAGTTTTGACCTAGTCCGCCAAAGTAATGGGAAGAGTTATTAAATTGTTGGCTAATTATTTGTTAAATTTTCATTCCATTTATTTTTCTGTTAATTACGAGGTATTTCTTTGTCCTTTACAATTAAAATTCTAGTGCTAATCTAAGATTTAGTTTTTTTTTAAACAATTTTATTTGTTCTTTTATTCTTTGGCTTTCGGTGAGGTAGATGCTATTTTACTCCAGTCATGGATACTTCCATGAACGAAATTTTTTATCTTCTCATATTGATTAAATTATCCAACCCGCTGTCAGTTGAGAGTTATCGTTGGAAAATACAACCCTCTCTGAAGTTTGTTCATAAAAATGGCCATGGCTGAAAAAATTCAATCTACTTCATTTGTTATTTTCTCCAAATTATTTTCTCTTTAATTTTTATTTTCTCAAGAGTAATCAATGAATCGATGGTAAAACTAGATCAATACATACGTCGATTGTGGCGTGTTTCAGAAGTTTTGCTCAAATTGTATGTTTTAAGGGGAATGAAATATTTTGCCAGGAATGAAACGTTAGAACAATCTCGTTAAATGACAAAGAAAAATCAAACAATATTTTTGCAGTGGCGATCATTTGCCAGCTTTCAAAAAAGTAAATTTTGACGGAAAATCTGTAATATTCTTATCCAAGATAGGCAACGAGTCATCGTCAATTTTTTCCCCAGAAATCCTCGATGAGAGCAAAGGATATGACATCTTTTTTCCAGGAAGAAAATATCCAACAACTCTGTGACCAAAAGTATCGAAAATCATTTTCACAAGTAACAATGGTTTATACAATCAAGTTTCTTGAAAATTGGAAAATTCTTAATAAATAATAAAAGCACTGTTGCAATAATTCGGCTAAAAAAAATCTTGCCAAATCTCTTGAGGATTACTACTTTTTAAAAACCAAATAAATATTTGGGGACCGATGATTTGTAGTCACTCAGTCACAGGTTCTTCTTTTCGGGTATCTAAGGAGATTTGTATCATGCACAACAGCGTCATAATGGTTGAGGAAATAATTATTACTCCTGCAAGTAAGAAGTCACTTTTTTTGCATCTCTCATTAGAAATATACGTTTATTTTAAATGTTCATCTTTTTCCTTTCGAAGGTATCTTGTAATTGTCAGTTGTAGAAAAAAGTCGACTCTCTAATGAATAAGTGGAACTATCTGGATCTTTAGGTGTGTTAAGGTAATTTTAGTGTATAGATATGATACTTCTTCCTGTAGCATACTTGTCAATTATTTATCATCGAAAGGTGGACCCACCAGAATTAGAAAATCTCAAAATTTAGGATTCTTCATTGATGTGAGAGTGAGATTGACCAGTTTTGAAGTTACCCTTTTCCCTTTCTTTTTATGGGCCTGATATTTGTCCATGTTTAGTTGACCTAAGCTAATTGTTCATCTATTTACCGTAACATGGCATGGGATTGCTTGTACATATTTGCTAGGAAAATTGCTTTCGCACGGATGAAAAAAAGAAAAAAACATGATTATTATTAGTCAGTCAAGTAAATAAACTAACTGATTAACTATTTCATCGAATTTTCTTTTGATTTATTTAATAATTTCATACCTACTTGTGGAATTTGTATGCTTAGGTGCACTTGAAACTGGATTTCTTGCTCAGTTTCATGGAAGATTTATACATTCATTTTGCAACGATACCTTTAAATATGATCCCTCAAAGTTTGCTCCAAGTTCATTCAATCCAAACCAATTACTTAGGTATATGAAGAAAATTTCTTATCAAGAGGAGATTTCAAATGATTGCAGATATTTACCGCAATTGGGCGTATTTCTATCAAACGGAAGTATGTGAATCAAGACATGAGCCCTGAGACCCGTAAGAATACATGCATAACAGGGCTCACGTCATAATGCACATGGTTCCTTTTGACAGAAATACGTCCAATTAAACAACGTTAAGGAAAGAAGAAGAACCATGAGCTGTTTAGAGCGAAGCTTATTTAGTGACCAAGTCACACATTTTTCCTTTCAGTTGTTCCTAAATCAACCTATACAAATATCTATTTATACTTTCGGTATCTAAAATGTGAGACAGATAACACCATGTAGCTACTTCTATTCCTTCATGTAAAGCTGTTGTATGCTTTTTTTGTTCTGTTTTCTGACCTGGAAGACAACGGTTTTTACTTTTTCTTCCTAAAATTATTAATTTTCAAATTTGTTAATTGCCCCCGAGAGCAAATCATCTGGAAAAAGAGTTGCAACCTTCAATTTTTTTTTTGGATTGAATGAATGAATAAGTGAATCTTTATTGACTTTGATCAACTCATGATTCATCCACCTATGGATATTTTAGATAACTGAGGTATATTCATGGTTGATTAATAATGTCAAGGTTTACTTTAAAAGCCATAAAAAATTAGATTTCCTTATCAAGGTTTTTCTTCGATGAAAGTGAAATTTTGTTATTTTCAGACCCACTGATGTAACGAAAAGGGAGGGAACCAATCATTTTATACAAGTTAATACGGAAGAAAAAATTTTACCTTTAAAGAGATTTGTAGAAAAGTTAATTATCATTCTATGCTAGTTGAACGTTACAAATTTTATGTTGATATATAACTTCCCATGTTCTCTTGCAAAAAATCACCTAGGGTCATGCGAAAAAATTAAAATTGTAAAAAAAAAACCACTGAAAAAAGGAAAAGAATCCATTAAAAAGGTTTTGTTTAAGTTTATTTTATTTTAAACTTGTTTTATAACAGTTTTTATTGAAAATTATAATTTTTAGTTTTTCTTTTTTTTATATGTCCGTTTTTTCATTTATTCCCCATCTGATCATTCTAAGGATTCAAAGAGATCCTTAATTAAGTGCCTCTGGTAAAAAATATAAATAAGTAAAAAATAAAAAAAGGCCAAAGCACATTATTTGGTGCATAGGCACAGGACGACTTAGAAGGAAAGGTGTCAAAAAGTGTGATGAATCGCCGGTGAGTCTCTCTTCCCAAGGAAAGAAGGGATAGTCTTCTTTGAAGATCTTTTGTAAGACAGGAGAAATAATGAAAAATAAATCAAATCACTCAAAACTTTGGTAAATTAGACTCCAGGTGGACTGAACAGTCGCACTTTTTGAGGCAAAATTATGAATGTGATTTCTATTTTCAGTTTTGCCAAGTATAAAACTTTACTTTTTAAATTCACTCTTAGCATAATGAAGGAATTTTCAAACAACACTGTGGTATTACCCAAGATTTGAGGATTGTGCAAGTTTATGTCAATCTTGTGATCACTTAATTATTTAATCGAAAATTTTCCTCTCGTCCTTGAATGTATTTAAATATTCACTCAATTTTTTAAAACATTAACCAAGTGTACTTTAAGATGCAAAATACGACGACCACACTCTGAGAACGCATACTTCAATTATAGTGTCTCAAAATTGCCCCTCATGTTTTCTTCAAGAGAAACTAATGAACGCATCGCTTGAAATCCTGTTAGAATAGTCACGTCAGAGTAGAAAAATCAAAGACTGTTTCAAGAAATAGTACGTAACGTGTTATTTTCCATTTGAAAAGTACAATATGAGATGAAGTTTTGAACGTCGAATTCGAGGTACTTGGTCTTCAGAGCAGTGGTGTCATTTCCCCCTAGGTACTTGACGAGCTCCCCCTCCCCCATTTCATTACTTTGTACCCCTTCCCCTTAAAACAGCCGGGAATTTCTAGGGGGTTCGCGGACTCCTTCCTTGAGGGGGAAGGGAGTCCGGGGGGCCTCCTCCGACAAATTTTTACAATTAGATGCTCTCCTTAGGCAATTTGAGGCTATAATCAGCAGTTTTCTTTCCTTTTTCACTGCAGACATTTCCTTAGTTTTCACGTGTAAATATATCATTTTTTTTAAAAAAATTAGACGCAACTTTTTTTTGCAGAGAAACGGGCGGGAGGGGGATGGAGAAGAAATACGGGGGGGGGATGAAGGATCGGGGAGAAAAGTAAACTGGGGGGGGGGGAGAAAAGAAGAAAGGGTTGGAGGAGATTATCACCGAGAGGGAAAATAGGTATCACTTTGGCGGATTTACGCTAACTGCCCATCAAAAAAAAGTCAACCCCCCCCCCCCCATTTCAAACTTGACGAGTTGCCCGTCTGGAAACTTGTCACCGCTGCTTCAGAGTTAAGCAATGAAGCACGCTGGATAAGCCCACTATTGTGTAAGCTTGTAGTACTTATAGAAGATCGTATTCGATAGTGGTTCGATGTATCGTTTGGTTCAAAACAATAGAACATAACTTCCAACAAAGAGTTTAGTATTTAAGCTAGGTAAGCTGAAAATGAGATCCTAATAATATCACAGCCTTTCATTGCCATTTGGTAGTCATGAGAATCAAAAATCTATCACAAAAAACCCGTTCCCTCAGATTACTCAATTGACTTTTCAGGCTATGTTTACATGTTGAACCAATTGAAATCGATACAATCTCACCTGTTCGATGTACCGAATACGATCCATTGCACATCAGAAAGTCCTGTATTGTGTTCAACTTCAACCTTTCAGATACCAACTGTGCACATTACTTACTTACCCTTAGGTATTGGCTAATATTGAAACGATTAGCAGAATGCTTTTACACATATGTTGATGACTGAGCACGGAAGTATATGTGTAGTGTCATTGCTAAAATGTAAGATAAATTGAAGCTATTCCTCTTAGACACATTTTGACCAAAATTTGGTTTAAGATGAGAATAAAAATGTTGTGCGATTACAATATTTGACTCGGAACAATCGTATAACTTATAATTAAATGACAAAAGGAGACAAATTATTTTAAGGCATCCATTGACTTCAACCTAATCTTTCCTGAGAGACAAGGGTGTCAAGAGGTAAAATGGGTGAAATCGAAAAATAAGTACATATCTCTAAGTACGGTGTTAAAAACTATGTTTATGTTCTATTTTCTTAAACACTCCTAGCCAAAAACTTTTCTTGAAATGCTTGGTGAATTTTCTTCACTCTCTTTACAATATTCACTGGAAACGCCCAGGAGATACTTTTTTTAGTAAAAAAATAAAATAAAATATATAAGTAGATTTTTAAACATTGTTTTTGAGGAACGAATTTTCCGACTCTGGCCTCCTCGGCTTGCAGCATCATACGTAGCTTTTATGTATATCAAAACTCCAATCCAGCGAGAACCTATCATTTTTATAATTTTATTCTACTTTAACTTTAACATCCAGGGTATTGATTTTCCTTTAAAAACATAGGTTTTTCTGAGGCAAATTTGAATATTTTTCTTTCCATTTTTCAGTTAAGTAAGTTTGTTGTAATTTGACTGAAATCATCTGAAACTTTCAAAGAAAACTATTCATAACTTTCCTTGAAAATACGTACTTTTTGGAGAGACATTTGGCAACACTCGATTTCTCGTACGGCGTTTTTCCTAAGCATGGCTGTGCGTTTCTGTCAGTTTGTCAATGTAACTCAGGACACGTAGAAAAATTCAGAATACAGCCAATCGGCGAATACAACTCAATTGACCACAAGACAAGGTATACGAAATTCAGCATTCTGATACATGATCCTTAACAAAAATTTCACGTAAAACACGATGCGCACAACGAAAATTACCGAAATCAACTCCTTGCGAAGATATTTAATGATTCTTGATACGTGAATTCAAACCACCCGCTCACGAAAACTCAACGCTCTACGTGATTCACATCGCGCTAAACGTTTACCACGACAGTCTCTGCGATATAAAAATCTGGCAACCTCAATCTTGACGCTTTGGCTCAGCTATAGCGAATTGCTTATATCGACGGTGAAAGTCGGCAATCACATAACTCGTTTGCGGTGTCTGAAAATCTCCGCCTCTACGTCATTTTTTTAAAGGAGAACAAATTGATATTATTTCTTGAAGTTTTTGCAGAATTTTCTTCGCATTGAGAAGAAAAATCACGACAGTTTTAAAGAATTGCCGTTGAGTAGTTTTCCATTTAAAAAATAAAGTATGACAGGAAGTCTGCGACGTCGCAAACCGAGTTATGTGATTGCCGACTTTCACCGTCGATATGTAGTTTGAACAACACATGGTGGGAAATGAACATTGCTCGATAGAGAAGATTGCCGAAACCGTTGTAGTGCGCGATTTGATTCACGTAGAGCTTTGAGTTTCTTGTGAGCGGGCTGTTCAAAGTCCTCGTAACCAATGTGAAGTAAAAACGTTAATATCTTCGTTAGGAGTCGGTTTCAATAATTTTCGTGGTGCGAGTCGTGTTCTACGTAAAATTCTGGTTAAGAAGCATATGTATCGGAATCCTTTAACTCGTACCTTGTCTAGTGGTCCATTAACTTCAGAGTAAGGATGGGTTGGGTTGCTTCCCTGCAAACAACAGGCCTTACTGTGCCACTTCAGCCGTTGTTGTATGTGTATCATCGTCATCCTTATTTCGCGATGAAGGAGGCTTCGTACTTCAGGTTTGAAAACTATGCTTCCGTGCTGAGGGAAAACGCCGTATGAACATCCAGCCGTTGTCTAATTACCTTCCATAAAACACAAGAAAAATTTTGAATTTTTTCCTCTTAATTGTTCAGTGCGGTTGTCTCGCAATTGATCTATATCGTCCAAAACCTTCAATTAAAAATATTAATAAGTTTCCTTAAAAATACGCTTTTTTTTAAGTGACATTTGGTAAAATTCTAATGTTTGTGCGGCGTTTCTCCTCAGCATGTCTGTGCGTCAGTGTATCTAAAGTAAAAAGAGAGAAGGCTCATGAAGTGATCGCTCATTCCATCGACTGAGGCCCCAGGTGCAGGTAGTACGGATTGCAATTTTGCAATTCCACTGAGTGTTATGTATGTTGCCTAGCTCCTATTTGAAGGGGCCCTACACTGTTAAACTTTAGCTCAGCGCACGACTTATACAAGGAAGTCGATCGGAAGTCACTCATCGCTCAGGGCCAATTCTTTCCGAGTTAAAAATCTTCGACATAAGTAGGAAAAAGTTGAGCTAAAGTAACTCAGGCATGAGTACGGGCTGCGCCGCTGGCGACTGCCCTCCCCTGCCCCCTGGCATCCGCCTCATACCCCGATCCGTTTCCCCTCCCTCTCCTCCCTCCCTCCTCTGCCTTCCCCTTCAACCTGTAACTGTAATGTGTGTTCTTTTTCTTTTTGAAAAGATGTGAAATTGTACTGCAAGTCAAATCATGTTTCAGGAATTTTCGGGCCAATATCCCACAAATTCAGAGCCAAAGAGTTTTTTGAAATGCAAACACGACGGAAAATCAAAATTTGTCATAGCTAAACAGCTATCTCCAGTAATTTCAAAAACGCTTTTAGACAAAGAAATGTTTTATAGAAATAAAGTATTTTGTGAACATAAATTCAGAGTAAGCTTAAAAAATAAATATACACGATAACAGAACTCTAACTTCACTGGACACCGCGCCATACTCAGGTAGTATGAGCAGGGAGTCAAGACGCCTTCAATTTTTTGAACGCAATACGGACATCCGTCGAGGTTGTATAATTGTATCAAGGCGCCGTAGCAAACGCGTCCCATTGTTTATCGTTACAGACGAATATAAGTTGAGAGAGGAAAGTCACAATGCCTTCAATTTTATACATACACATTTTTGGGCAAAATGAGAGACGACGTTTATCCATTTGC